AATTGAGTTACACGACAGAGGCTATACATTCAATTTTTATCTAAATGTGTCGTAATTTGTTATAAAAATTTAACGAAACAGATAAAATGTATTTCTTAGCTATGTTGTATACTGTGTTCTAGATGCGAACAAATTTACTGGTCTGTTAATGTAATTTTTTTATTTAAAACATTAGAATTTTGTAGATAATAATTATAATATTTGCTGGCTTTTCCAGTTTCCAAATGATATAGTCGCGTTGGCAGACTTAAGGCATAACAAAAGGGGGTCAATTGACCCCATAATTTTTAAAAATTATTGATTTTATATTTATTTTTAAAATATATGTTTTATTTTCATTTAATTGACGTTCTATTTAATAAATAAATTTAATTTTGAATTTAGATTTTATAATTATCATCACTTATCTAGTTTTATTGTCTATTATCGTTTATGTAACAACACTATTTATCAACTACTAGAAGAGTATTCGTGCAATGCAGCAAAACACATCTTGATTTTAATGTTTTATTTTATTATTTGTCTATGTCGATGTTATAATACGGTTTTATGTGTTTTTAAGAAAACAATAATGATTTTATTTTTGAATAAAATTTAAATTTAAAGATATCATAAAAATTTGAAAAAAAAATATCAATGTTAATATCAAATCAACTATTTAAAAGTTCTCATTTTTTTTTATGTAATTTCTTTAAAAAAAATTTATTATAATTTAATTTAAATTTAATAACGAAAAATTTTATTTTTGGTTTAATAATATAACATTTTATAAAGATAATAATAATTAAGTATTCTGTTAGAACTCAATGATTATCTTAATTATATTTTAGATTTTTTATATTTAAAAATGAGATGTTTATCATGTATTTAATTATGTTTATCTGCAGTTAGTTACGCGAATTCAGATATGGAGCTTTAATAAGTTGTACTTACGCATAATCTACTTGCAATCTTGAGTTTTAAGTAATATGCATTAATAAACAGTATTTTAAGCATAAAAAGTGGTTTTTAAAAGTTTTTGTCAAATGTTTTATAATATAGTATAGATTATGTGTTTTTAAGAAAACAATAATGATTTCATTTTTCAATAAAATATAAATTTGAAGATATCATAAAAATTTGAAAAGAAATATATATCAATGTTAATATCAAATCAACTATTTAAAAGTTCTCATTTTTTTATGTAATTTATTTAACTAATTTTTTTATTGTAATTTAATTTAAGTTTAATAATGAAATAATTTATTTTTGATTTAATAATATAAATTTTATAAAAATAATAATTAAGTATTCTGTTAGAACTCAATKATTATCCTAATTATATTTTAGATTTTTTATATTTAAAATGAGATGTTTATCATGTATTTGATTATGTTTATCTGCAGTTAGTTACACGAATTTAGATATGGAGCTTTAATAAGTTGTACTTACGCACAATTACTTGCAATATTGAGTTTTAAGTAATATGCATTAATAAACATATTTTACGCATAAAAAATAGTTTTTAAGAGTTTTTGTCAAATGTATTATAATATAGTATAGACTATTACAAAATTTTTATTAAAAAAAATACTTTATTTGCTTGATTATTCAAATCGGATGATCAGATTATGTAATACAGATATTATTAAATAAATGTTATTTATGAGTAAATACCATTTAAATATTAGTAGATATACATATTTACATTAATATAGTGTGTTAAATTAAATATATTAATATACGATAAAATGAAAATGGCTAAAACTTAATATGGAAAAGAATCGTGTGAGAAATGAAGCTATGATGAGAAGCGTAAGTAGATATTTTAACCCACACATGAATTGTACTTTAGAATGAAATTGATCTGATGCATCTTGATACACCTCATTAGTGTTGACATGTAATTGATTGATACAAAGGTGAAGATCTTTTTTTTACGCTTATCACTAGAAGTGGTATGATTTTACCATCAATTTTTCCAAGCCACTATAAAGTTCAAAAAATAAAATTTATTTGTTATATATTTATGGGAAAAGTCTAAAAAAACCTACAAATAAGTTCTTGGACATTCCAAAACTTATTAAATAACTTCTTGGGCATTCCAAAACTTGTTAGATACATTCTTATGACTTATACAACTGATTAATGTGGTAAAATAATGAAAAAAGTCTGGAAAAAAAAACCAATAAACTTTCATATTTTGGACGATTATGTCTCTAAACATTTTTTAAACCAATAAAATATTTACATCTATAAAATGAAATAAATATACCAAAAAAAATATTTACATTTACAAAAAAATACTTACATTTAAAAAAGATTATTGATAAAATATATTTTAATTAAAAATAAAATATATTCAGTTGGTGATTTCAAACTAAAAAAATAGAAAATAATTTGATTAAATTACTGATGGATTAACGAAAAAATTTAACTAAATACATAATTAATTAAAATTCGTCGCTAAGCCGTCGATGAAATGATATCACCGACAAGATTCACACATGATCTTTCACACTTATTAACATGTTACTGTGTTACAGTGTCTGACGGTGGTCAAGTTAGCAATCAATTAGATATAAATAATTCTTACATATATACCAATGAACACTAGCGATAAATTTTAATTAATTATATATTTAGTTAAATTTTATCGTTAATCTGTCGGTAATTTTATCAAATTATTTTCTATTTTTTTAGTTTGAAAAATCACCAACAGAATATATTTTACTTTAATTAAAATAAATTTTATTAGCAATTCTTTTTAAATAATTTTTTATTTTTTT